AGGTAGAGCGTAGAATACCGACAAGGAGCACAAAGAGAAAGATGGCCCATGTCGAGTAAGTGACGATTGCGGTGACGGTTGAACTTAGTGCTGGAGTGATATTTGCTTGACGACAGCTGATCTCCTCCGAGTCATTTCCCTCGAGGTGCAAAGTCGTATGGAATGTTGACAATGGTGGCAGACGGCCGATATCTTCCGAAATAGACAAATGAAGGCTGAAGGGGTTGACCAGTGACGAGCGCCAATTCTTTGAAAAGTTGAGCTTTTCACATGTTGTCTTGGTTGTGGTTTGATACGCAGCAGAACGGCCTAGCATTTCGAATTCCAGTGTTGCATAGGGCGTCCTTCGAGCCAGATCCTGGCATTCCGCTTCTTCCATCCATCTCCCGACCTGGAGTGTCAGCTGGTTCTGGCGCCCATCGTCTGACGGCTCCAAAGTGGCTCGCAGACTCTGGGGAACGAAGACATCTGTCTTGCTTGAATGACCACCACAGTCCTGCCATTGCACATAGGCCCCTGAGGCACAGGTGGCCACAAGCCCTACCAGACCAAGGCGTGCGAGCATTCCCGGCCTCAGTCGCGATGAGTGGTCTCAATACACACAGATCGTACGCAGTCCACCAATATCACGACCTAAAGTTGAGGTGGCGGATGTTGATTGGTCGTCTGATTACAGTGATGTCGAAGATGCGGGAGAGGAAATTGAGTGTGGTGAATACCAACCGGCAAACTTCAGACGCCTCAATCTTTTTTCATCTTCATGGTGGGGACTGGTCACGGCGTCGCATTGCCGAGGCCGCTAACGTTCAGCTACTCGTATTCTTAGCTGTTGTCTGCAAGAAGGGTTCGCCCCCGTCGCAGACCATCCCTGACTCGTGAATCCACTGCGGCACTTTCTGCGGGGGCAACAGAATATAATTCATGCTTAAGTGGTTTGGCACCACCTGAGAACCGTGCTTGACTGGTTGATCGCAGGATGAATAAGAACAAAGTAATGGAGCTGATCGAATAGCGTATCTAGTACTCCGTAATAACCCTTTCAAGTAAGGGTCTCCGTAGCGGTTCAGAGTTGAGTCGTAGACTCGTTGCTGTGACGAGCTGAGAAGTCAGGGGCGTTGAGTGGAGCAACAACGTGGTACAGGAAAATCAAGATGAACTAGCATCAAATTCTCGTCCAAACTTGAGATGAAGGAGTGAGGCGTCAAGAGCCGCACGGGAGAGACGGTCGACCCTGAACGATTGGTTCGAGGCTTCTGAGATCCGAGATAGAAGAGAGCTACGACGCCACCGAGTGTGGCGTTTTGATCGACGTGGTAAACAATAGGCGCTCGGGGACCGGTTCGCAGAAGATAAAAAAAGACAACAAGAGAAAACACACGGATGTGGTGGCGGCGACGGCATCCTCCTTGGCCACGATTTTTGGCACCTGCAAAGCGTGGCTATGACCAGGAGATGGCTTGGCAGACCGCTCTGTAGATCTGAAACACATCCAGCTGGAATGGCTTTTGAGATGGCTCGAGTAGAAGAACGCCTCACCGCCGGTGCCGTTCCGTACACATTTTGTGAAGGTCTGAAGCCTCGTGAGCCGCAACTTGCCATGTGGGATGCGACGTGCGGCAGTTCTCGATGTGGCCCCATGAGATCAAAGCCAATCCCGAGAATTCGGGACCAGGGTAAATGATCCATCTTGTCACTTGAGAGATGGTTGACAATGTCAAGCGAACTGAAACGCTCGAGGCACTGCCAGGTTACGCGCCGTCATGTTCGCGAATGAAGTCGTAACACCTTGCGACATCTTGGCCTTCTGAAGGCCCTTGAGATAAAGCTGATGAGATTGAGTGCCTCCAAACTGACGGCGACTTGCCGATCTACGAAGCATCAAGAAGAGACCCTCGAAATGAACGGAGACCAGGGTGAGAAGAAAAGGGGCGGACAAAATGTTGATCGGAGTTGCAACATGGCCGTTGCCATGAATTTGCTGGACCTGCGTGAAGTCGCGAAAAGAGTTCTTCATTGATTATGGAAGACACGACAGTGGTCGCTGTGGTCGCTGTATCAGCCTCTCCGCCAGGGTGGTAAAGATGGCGGAAATGGCGCGACTGTAGGCACTTTGGAAGCTTCACCGGACGCTGAATCGGCGTGGCTTCGGAATATTGGCCGAAAAGAGGCAGGCCTCATTCGTAGTCTGCCCAAGCTGGGTAGCCGCATCTTCAATCTGTCAGTGTACCCGAGCGAACTGCCTAAACAGGGCCACTCGATCATGTTCCGACTAAGATAGCCTCTCAGTTCTTCTCCGAGTCTGAGGGAAACGGCTGATGGTGAGAATAAAGACAAAGATAAAAGGTTGATGGGAAGTTTGTTTGTGTCAAGGGGGGAAGAGTGCCGTTGGTACCTTACATTGGCGTCACGCTTGCGCGAATTAGTAAGTACAAACACACATGGTGGAAAAAAGAAACCAAACCTGAGGGCACGTAGAGAAAGTGTGTGATCAATGTGATGGGCCGTGGTTCCCGACATGAGACTACGGGAGACTACTGAAGTGACTGCAGCCAAGCAAAGGGATGGCCATGTGAGATGGGACGACGCAGAAGGGAGTATCCGTACTGTGACGAACAGACCTTGGGATGAAGAAAACATCCGACGAATGATGACTGACTAGTTTGTGTGCAAAATTGCTCTTTATGCGCCCTAGGTTGGTTTGCAGAGTTGCATCCGGGACGCGACGGCTGCAGCCTGCAAGGAAAGCGATGACTCGGAAGTTGCAGTGCCGTGGGATGAAGACAAGAACGACCAAGTGCAGAAATGCAATGAGGGTGTCGGCGTACGGTAGCCAGCACGTCGTACGAGATGGGGGCCTTTGGGGGCGTCTGTCACGATGCAGCCGAGTGCCAATGTGAAGCCAATGTTTGAGATCTATCAATGCTCCATTTGTGTTTTCGTGGTCTGGTGGAACAAGCTGCGTGAAAAAAGAAAGAAAGGGTTATTTCAGCTGGGCCTGACGTGGTGTGGCTGTTGTTGCTTGCTCATGGTATTTATGAGAGACGCATCCGTAATGAGTCGGCACCTCACATGGCGACAAACTCGAGGCAAACAGGCGGTGATGATGATTATTGAAAAAAGAAGAGACACGGGGACACAAGTCGGTGAGAAGCTGAAAACCCAAGGCTGCTTATCCGCCACAAAGACCGAAGCGAAGCCTCGTGGTGATGTTCAATGGCTGGGTAAGTGCACTGGAGGCAAGAAGTTGGAAGGCAGGACCGGCAGTACAGGTGGAAGGCGCGAACAAACAACCGCATCTGCCCCCAAAACGTGTTGGAACCGATGATTTGGGCCGCCACCCTGCCACCCCCACTCATGGAAGGGCAGCGGAAGGTGCGCACCGTCGTCCGGCCGGCAAGCACGTGTATTCGTAGCAGTGGAGGGTACGGATTGTCGTTCTTTCCTCTTCCTCCGCCTTTGTCAGTGGTCTCCCGCCCAAGGTTGAAAACCCGGGAAAGAGGGACGAGGATAATGGCAGGACGTCACTGGCATTGGAAGGTGTACTATGAGGTGGCTTGCCTCAGGCGTGCCTGCCTCATCGTTCATCATTCTTCCCCTCCCGAATTGTACGATAAGTTCGAGGATTAAGATTCAATAGTCGCGGCTTCGTGTCCAAGTGAGTTTGGCGAGGAAGCCAGCGAGGGGCCACCCTGCCTCCCTCCAACTTCCCGAATGGACGTCATCACCTCTTGCCCTCACGATGGTGTACTTCGTACGAAGTACCTCAGAAGAAAACGTGCATTTCCATGGGCAAGGGAGAAAGCGTGGACGCTATTTCTCAGGTGTTCCGCGGTAGCTTCCCTCCGGCTGAACCCCAACCGCGTGCTGTCGCCCTTGCAGAGTGCAGCGTGCAGCAGCGTGCATGGCTAGCGCCAGTAACCTTATGCACAATAAGATGATGGAGCCAAGCAGCCAATGCGCATTTCTCCGAGCACATCACTCCGTACCTTAGGTAGTATGCCAGAGAAAAATCATCGTGGTGTTTTCCTGAAAAGTGCGACGTGGCTAGGTGCAGCCGCGCCGGTCACTTAGGTTTGGTGTAAGTGCAGGTGAAGTGCAAGTGCAGGTGCAGGTGCAGGTGCAGGTGCGCGACTTGGCAACCCCTGTGCCTTCCAGACTCTTGCCTTACCAAAGGTACGTTACTTCGTACCTACACTGCTTTTGAGGCAAGTGCCCTTTCCTCATCCATTGTGTCCAGTGTCGCAGGAGGCAGGTGCGGGATTCGAGGGTTGTCCCCGCCTACGGTGCCCTTCGCTTCAAGACTCTATAACTCCATATCGGGCTTAGACAGAAAAGCCACTTAATCTTCCCCAGGCCACATTCCCTGCTCTCCTCCGTTTGATTCTTTTTTTGGGCTCTTTGGCTGCTTCTCTCACGTCTCACCCGACTAGAATCTTGGCTCTCCCATGCACCAGACGCACCAGATGCACCAAGCAAAGTCAGCGTTCGTGGTCACTGGTCTGTTGCTTGCTTCTTCATGTCTTCAACTTTAGGATGCGCCTGCGAAGATCTCATTCTGCCGATATGCAAAAAAAGGAAACGCAAACCAACACCAAGCCAATCTACTCGTGGCAAGTAATTAGCTGCCGCCCCGCGTCGGTCGTTTTCTTCCCCTTCGAGGTCTAGACACAAATTGAACCACGCCGATTGTTTCCCTTACGCCTCTCGGCCGCTTCAGCTCCAACCCGATGACAATGCAAGAATTTTATGGTGCAGTTACCCAGGCAAACGCCAACCCCGAGACCTAAAGCCACAAAGCTTCGTCCGACCAGCTGGGTGTAAGAGTGGAGAGGCGCGCATACCTACCATTAGGTTGCGGCTGCGGCTGCGGCTGCTGACGTGCTGAACTGATCCCAACCTCACGAGTCACCAGCTTCAGCCTTCAAACCCATAACAGCTCCAGACCAAGTGGATTTAAACCTAGGAAACGGAGAGAGAGAGAGAAAGAGAGCGCGCGAAAGATGGAGAGAATCAATGGCCTTGCCTCGCTTCTGGACGAGAGGCCTGCCATCCGAATAATCCTGGACCGTCACATGGCCTTCTCCACGGATCCATCCGACAGTCTGGACACATGGTGGCCCTTCTCCGGGTCCCCATGGGCGGCGCATGGCTTCGACCAACTTGTGCTTGATGCCTTCACAGCCAGTTGAGTACAGTCATCCGTCGCCTTCGCCGTCGCGCCCGGTCCCGTTCCGCTCCCTTGGTTCCCAAGCTCTCTGGCCATGCATCTGTCTTGGCCTTTTCGAGTCCAGTCTTGTCTACGCGTCTTTACGCTCAGAACATGAGCGTGCGTTCGCTTGGTGGTGTTTTAGACGGTCCTTGCCGGATCGACCCCCTCCCAAGACAAGACTTCCCTGCTTACCCAGCTATGCTTTTTCCGCTTGTCCTGAAATGTCTCTGGCGCCTTCAATATCTCGCCCTAATCAAACTAGGCTTGGCTATCCGCACCATCCCTACGGAACCTAACATCTCCAGTCGAAACAACCCAAACCCAGCCCATCCCAAGCATGGGTGCGCCGATTTACCTCACTCATACGGTTATCGTCCAAGTACTCCGTACACCCTACACTAAGGTAGACTCTCGCGCTTGCAGTCACCATGGGAGGGGGCTTCTGCATCGCCGGCTAACTGCCTTCGACCGGCCCTAGCTCGCGCCATGTGTTCGACTAACAACGGTCTCGAAGCAGACGACAGCTGCCCTGCTCGTCCTGTGTTGTGTCGCCCTCCGACCATCAGACAGTTCAGACCTTGAGACCTTGAGCTTGGCCTGCAGACTTGGCAGGCACATACTTTTGTTTATTATCCGCCCTGTGCCCCGGACAAATCCAAGTATGCCATCATCACCAAGTGCTCATCTCCATTCACTTTTCGCGGCACTTCTGGGACTGTTATACTCGAAGCAGGCATTCGATTGTTAACTGCTTTCATTCTTCAACAGCCCAGCATGAGACTCTCATTAGGATTGCTGGCTTCGTTGCCGGCGCTTGTTGCTTCACTTGCCTCTACCGATTCATACCGCGATGCTGTAAGTTCCGTTCCTCTGTTCCCGCTTACACTGGCTTGCGGCTCGGCAGCCGGCGAGACCTCCGCATGCCAGCTCCATGTGGGTGTAATTCAACGAGTATCCAATACTGACTTCTTCCCTCCCGAAAGGATGCACCGCAATCCGGCTACCTTCCCAATCACAACTTGAACCCAAATATCGCAGGCTCTTCAGGGTTCAAGAGTTTATGGACGTTCCAATCTCCCAATGCCAAGGAGAACTGGCTCGCCAAGCCCTTGGTCTACACGCCCAATGGCGGATCCGAGCTTGTCATCACCGCCTCCGAGATGAACATCATCCGTGTCTTTGACGGAAAGACTGGCAAGAGCTTGATGGAGAGAACACTTCAAGCACCCTTCCTCGCCGCCGACAGCAACTGCGGCGATATCCCCGACTTCATTGGCGTTACGGGAACCCCCATCATCGACCCCAACACCGATATCATGTACCTCTTCTCAAAAGGCTACCGGGACGGAACTACCTCCGGTACCGCCAATGGAGTCTACAAGATGTACGCCCTTCGGATTCCTAGCCTCGAAGACGTCTCTGGCTTCCCGACTCTCATTGACGGTATCAATGCCGACAACGACCGTGGCCGGTATCTTGTTGGTGGTGTGGCCCTGCAGCGCCCAGCCCTGACGGAGCTTAACGGCCACATTGTTGCTGCATTTGGATCACACTGTGGTCGCTGGAACTACACCGGCTACATCGTCTCGGTCAGCAAGACTCCAGGCGTCGGTCCCGTGAGCATGTGGGCGACGGAAGCAGCTCCCGGTGCACCTAGCCCCCAGGCTCTGGACCTTGCCAACGAAAGAAGCGGCAAGGCAGGCATCTGGCAGAGTGGTATGGGTCTGCCCACCATCGGCAACAACGTCTACTTCGTGGCTGGTAACGGCCAGGGACACGCCAACGGCAATGTTCCGGCGAGCGGCAGAATTTCCATGTCAACCCTCGATGAGTGTATCGTCAAGATGGAGCTGTCGGCTACTGGTAAATGGTCTCTCATCGACTACTTCCAACCCTACGACTATGTCGCGCTTGATGCTGGTGACCGCGACGTTGGCTCTTCTGGTCTTGCCGTTTTGGACGGTTCTGTCTTCAAGGGCGCTGGTGTTAACCGCATCGGCGTGACTGCGGGTAAGAAGGGCAGAACATACGTGGTCAACGCTGACAACCTTGGTGGATTCCGTCAGGCCGCAGACGGTGGTGATGGTGTCTTGCAGACTATCGAGCTTGGTGGCTCTCTGTATGGCGGTTTCGGCAGTTACCCTGCTGAGGGTGGCTACATCTATGCAACCACTGTGGGCGGTGCCCTTGTTGCTTACAAGCTCGGCTTCGACTCCAAGGGCGTGCCGCAGTTCAGTCTTGCTGGCCAGTCTTCCTGGATCTCGGCCGGCCGTGTTGGTGTTGGCCAAATGACAGTTACCTCCGACAATGGCAAGGCTGGTTCCGGAATCGTTTGGATTACTGATGTCAACACTGGTCTCATGGCTTTCAAGGCTATTCCTCAGGACGGTGTCATGGTTCCCATCACCCTTCCTTCGTCTCAAGGCACAAACAAGTACCAGCGTCCCGTTTTCGGCGACGGCCGAGTCTTCTTCCACGTCAACGCCAACAAGCTCGTCTGTTTTGGTGCGCCGGTCAACTCTGCCGTCAACTGCACCTCTCCTCTTGACTTTGGCTCCTTGGAACTTGGATCTACCGCGAGCGCCACTGTCAGCTGCAAGGCCAATGTCGCCTTGGCTGGGGTTGTTGGATGTTCCGTCGCCGACGCGTCCTGGTCGTGCTCCAACTCGACTCTCCCCCAAGGCGCCGTAGCTGCGGGCACATCCTTCAGCCTGAATGTGACGTGGGATATCTCAAACACTGCTGCAAAGGTCGTACCCGGCTTCCTTACCAGTGCTATCACACTCGCTGTCAACGCCTCGGCAGACTACGCCGCGAGCACTTTTGTGACAGTCCAGGGCACCGTCGTCAAGCAAGGAGCTTTCCTCAAGGCGACTCCATCAGATATCACATTCGGAAGACTCGTGCTGCGCGATTCACCCGATGGTCTCACCGCCACTGCTCTCCTCCAGAACATCGGCAATGGCACCCTTACCTTTACTGGATTTGCTTGGCAGGACACTGCTGGCACTTACACCAACTTCACCAACGACGGCACTCTGGGTGCTGGATTCACTTCTTCGGGCTTTCCCGCTGTTGGTTCCACTTTGGACTCCGGAAAGAGTCTTTCGGTCCCTCTCCGTTTCTTCCAATCCACTGCGGGCTCCTACTCCTCAAAGGTCGTCATCTGGTCTAACGGTGGTTCCTCTGTCCTCACGTTGAGCGCCTCCGTCAACGATGCTCCCGCTGTAACATTCGAACTCTCCGACGGCGCAGGCAACTGGAACGCACTCACAGACTACAGCGTCGCCTTTGGCAATGTTCTTGCTGGCACTTCGGTCGATAAGCAAATCCGAGTGTGCAACAAGGGTGGCGCGCCCTTGACAATTACCATCTCCAAGCCCCCTGCGACGCCTCAGTTGTTTGCTTTGAACCCTACTGCCGAGCTTACCGAGGGAACACAGGTTGCTGCTGGTACATGTGCCATTGGCAGTGTCGGCATTCACGCTGCGCCTGTCCAGCCCAACCATCCGTCTCAAGCGCTCAAGGCTCTGTGGACCATCAGCTCCGATGGTAACGATCCCACCACTGGCCAAGCGTCTGGACTGCACAACATCGCCTTCTCCGGCACCGTTGTCTCGAAGCAGGTCGGACCCCTCCTCACGAATGGCACCGCGCGTTATCAATGGGTTGGATGCTTCCAAGATACAAGCAGTGCCGGCCGTAACTTGCAGACTTCTGTCAACACGGCTGATCAGCAGAAAACCAACACCCTCCAGCAATGTCAGACTCTTTGCCTTGCCAAGGGTTACATCCTCTCCGGAGTTCAGTACCATCAAGAGTGCTGGTGCGGTGGAAGCATCAAGACCCCTTCGACGTACAGATCTGAGTCTCTCAACCTTTGCACCTTTGACTGCACAGGTGATGATACCCAGGCATGCGGAGGCGATGGTGGCCACATGAGCTTGTACGCTGACATCACTTCGTTCGACATTGCTGGTTTCTACGCTTCTCTCAACGCTCCAAGCTCTAGCTCCAGCTCATCGGTACCAGCTGCTACGAGCTCCAGCTCAAGCATTGTGTCCTCTAGCAGTGCCGTCATTGTTTCGACTAGCTCTGCAAGCGGATCTTCATCCAGTAGCGCGATCTCCAGCAGTTCCTCCGCGACAGGATTTTCTAGCAGCACGCCGGCTACAAGCACGGTGGCCTCATCCACACTGACCTCTTCATCGAGCAGTTCATCTTCCAGCCCTTCGTCTACAATGGTCATGTCGCCCATCAACTCCGCCATGCCAGCTGTTATCAGTAGCCAGTGGCAGTACTCTGGCTGTTATAAGGATCTCATCAACGGCACTCGCCTGCTGGCTGAATCTTTCCTGGCTGCGGATGACATGACCTTGGATAAGTGCGCCGCATTCTGCAGCGCCGGCGCTTACAACGGAGGAGCCTTCAACTACTTTGGTGTCGAATACAGCCGCGAGTGCTTCTGCGGCTGGGATGTGAAGGCGTCCCAAACTTCTGCCTCGGAGTCGGACTGTTCTATGCCATGCGCTGGCTCAAAGACCGGGTTGTGTGGAGGCGGAGCTAGGTTGTCAGTCTACAGCAACACTATCCCGAACAAGGTTCCCTCGGCTCCTCAGCACGCCCCCCAAGCCGGCAACTACAAGTTCTTGGGTTGCCAGACCGAAGGTAGCAACACTCGTGCCTTGACTGGTGCCTTCACTGCTGCGGATACCATGACTGTCGAGACTTGCGCCACCTTCTGCTCTGCCGGCAACTGGCAGTACATGGGTGTCGAGTACGCTCGGGAATGCTTCTGCGGCAATACCACCAACGCTGGATCCTTGCCGGCTGCCCTGACAGACTGCAACATGGTCTGCAAGGGTAATGCGCTTCAATACTGTGGTTCTGGTGGGCGTCTTGACCTGTACACGTTCTCCCCAGCCAGCTCCAGCTCGTCTTCAAGCACTGTAGTATCGACTTCCTCGACAATCGTTAGCTCATCATCTAGTGTGGCGTCAACGTCGTCTATTCAGACAACCTCCTCGATCTTGAGCTCGAGCTCTTCTGCCTCGCCGGTGTCATCCCAATCAACCGACCTTCCGTCGAGCTCTTCCTCCGTTGTCCAATCAAGCAGCTCGGCATCTTCTTCGTCATCGGCTGCATTCACGGGCCAGACTGCCAGTGATTCTTCCAGCTCGAGTGCATTCACTTCATCCTCTTCGTCGCCTATCGTTACCAGCTCTTCGCAGGTTTCCAGCTCGTCCGTTCTCTCGTCAAGCTCTTCGTCTAGCTCTGTCGTGGCGTTCACAACCACCTCCGTCAGTAGTAGCTCATCTGCAGCGCCGCCGACATCCTCTTCCTCAACCATTCCCGTACCCACCGTCCCCGCATCAACCACGGCAAGCAGCTCTTCCCTCGCAAGCACTACTGCCGGCCCGACTGCCACTCCCACAAACGGATACTACTACATTGGCTGTTTCCAGGACAGCGGTAATGGACATGCACTGCCCGGACTGTTTGCCAACAACAGTGGCACACCTGAGCTTTGCATTGGCTACGCCAACTCGCTCTTCAGCAACTCGCCGACCTCGACGACGAAG